AAGCAGGCAGAGTGAGGTTCAGTAGCAGCCGAGGTCAGTACCAGGTAAGCAGGCAGAGTGAGGTCCAGTAGCAGGCCGAGGTCAGTACCAGGTAAGCAGGCAGAGTGAGGTCCAGTATCAGGCCGAGGTCAGTACCACGTAAGCAGGCAGAGTGAGGTCCAGTAGCAGGCCGAGGTCAGTACCAGGTAAGCAGGCAGAGTGAGGTCCAGTAGCAGGCCGAGGTCAGTACCAGGTAAGCAGGCAGAGTGAGGTTCAGTAGCAGGCCGAGGTCAGTACCAGGTAAGCAGGCAGAGTGAGGTCCAGTAGCAGGCCGAGGTCAGTACCAGGTAAGCAGGCAGAGTGAGGTTCAGTAGCAGGCCGAGGTCAGTACCAGGTAAGCAGGCAGAGTGAGGTCCAGTAGCAGGCCGAGGTCAATACCAGGTAAGCAGGCTGAGAGTTGTTAGAGGCAAGCTGAGGTCGGTATCTGAAATCCACAGAGCAAGGTCAGAAACTAGCCGAGTCAGCAACGGGAGATCAGTCAGTATAAACAGGCATATAGTAGCTGAACTACATCCAGCAATTAGGACACACCAAAGTTTCCCTTAAAAAGGCAGCTTGGCACCTTTGCACATGGACATGCATGCTGATACACACTGACACACACAGATACATCTATGTGGCATACTGCATATTAGCCTGGGCTTGTCTGTGTGCTGGTACATGTGCACGAGCATTACCTGCAGAAGAATGAGCATTAGCTGTAGCATTAACATTAGTATTAGTTGTGCAAGTAATGGTCCCCCTGACAGTTACTGTTCCAGAACAGTCATTTAAATAATAGACAGATCTTAGCCATGATGTCAGCCATTTAATTAAAAAACATGTTATACTTACCTGCTCTGTTTAGTGGTTTTGCACAGAGCATCCTGGATCCTCTTCTCGGGTCCCCCTGACTCCTCCTTTCTGTTGGATACCCCCATAGCAAGAAGCTTGCTATGGGGGCACCAAAGTAGGCATTTTCCCAAGCCCCTGCTCTGTGTGTCCATCCACACACAGAGCTGTGGCTTGGCCCTGCCCCCTATCTCTCCTCATTGGCTGACTGGTTGTGATTGATAGCAGTGGGAGGCAATGGCTCCCACCTACTGTCTCAGCAAATGAGGAGGCAGAGACCCAGGACAGCCAAGGCTGTCGTGCACATCGCGATGGGGTTCAGGTAAGTATTGAGGAGGATGGGGGCACTACTGCACACAGCAGGTTTTTTTACCTTCATGCATTCTATAAAAAACCTTGAGCCTTTAAAACCACTTTAAAGTGTAACTAAAGGCAATTTTGTTTTCAGTTTTGAAAAGAGTAGAGGTGGATTAGAACACCTAGGTTTTGATTACTGTTGTGTCCCTGTTAGGGAGGTTCACCCTTCATTCATTTGTCCTGTTTACGGTTATCATTGAAAGTGAAGGTAAAAGAAAATCCCAAATTTTGGGTTGAGATCAAAACACTAATAGAGAGCAAATCTAATAGAGGGCTAAGGCCACTGGCTATTTTTTTCATGGCTATTGCACACTGGGCATAAGCAATGCTAAATTTTTTAGTGCGTTTGACTATTTCTTTTCAGCCTCTAAATGCTCCTTTATGTTAGCATATGTAGTCATGCAAACATAGATGTTTACAGGTGTATTAGAAAAGGAGCGTTTAGAGGCTGAAAAAAAAACCTCAGTTGCGAGTTCAGGAGAGGAGCATCTGAGCAAAAAAAAAAGAATGGTTGATGCGCCTAAACACATTTACAAAATGCAGCTTTAGGTGCATTTTTAAGCTTCTTTTTTACTGCTAGGAGAAATGTTTCTCAGGGAACCTTGGAAAACATCCTGTGTGCATGAGACCTTATGGTGTAAAATGCAGCTGATGTTCATTTAAGTTCTGTGATAACCCCTGTCGACTGTCACTCATTTGGAGCAGAAAAAAGTCTGATAGATTTGTAGTAAATGGAAGTGTTAGTTTTTTTTACATATGACTGTTACGTAAAGTGCAGCACCAGATATTTACCTTACACAAATTACATTTATTTGAAAATATAATTGAAAGTTTTCCTTCTATAACATACCATGCAAATGTGACTTTATGTAATGAAGTGAAGAGGTGAAGTCCTAAGTGAACATTTATCTTTCAGTTCTTTTTTATCATTTCATCACAACACATGCAAAAAAATCTGCCACCACAAATTAGTGTTTAAATCAAAATTAATTAATTAATTTGGGCAGAAATTGGTGTTATGGCACTATTTCCAAAAGTATATACAAATGTTGAATATCACTGCACTTTATTGCTTGAGTATCTGGTGTAGTAAGCTGTAATGCCATCCATAACATTAAATTACAAAATGGCTCCTGTAGCAAAATTCTAAAATTGAACTTTTTCTATAAAAAAGTTGAGTTATGACTTGTTATATTATATTATGATTTAATAGCAGGCTGCGGTCATCCTACTGTTTAAATAAGTGGAAATGAAAGAATACCAGGAAAGTACGGGACCACTAAGAATGGTAATGTTGCTTCAAAAAAATCAAGGCAAACCCTGGATTGAAACACAGAATGCTATTATTCCTTTACTATACCAGGGACAGCCATTTCCGGAAAATCCAGGTCAGATCTGCTATTGGGCAGACTGCTGCACTTATCTGAAGTCATTTGAAAGGCCTTCTGCATGTACATAGAGAACAATTAGTTGCATTGGCGTTTAAGCTTACTTTCAAAATGTTACATAATATGACATTGTTTTATTATTATTAGAGATGAGCGAATCGAACCAGGCGAACCGGAATTCGAGTCGAATTTCAGGAAATATTCGATTCGCGGCGAAACCGAAATTTTGCCTACTTCGGGTGCGCGAATCGAACATTTCCCGATCAGCCGGCAAAAGTGTCCCTGCAGTGAGCTCCGCTATTTCTGACAGTTCTCTGACAGAAGGAACACATGTTTAGCGGTTGAAACATTGTATCTATTAGTTTACATTTAGGATACAGATGTTTCAACCACTGTTCATGTGAAGAAGCTGTGAGAGAACTGTCAGAAATAGAGGAACTCTGCACATACACTTTTTGCCGGCTTGGAATTATTCTTCTTTTCATCCTACTTCTTCTTCTTCTTCATCTTCATCCTCAGAAGAAGAGGATGAGGATGAGGATGAAGAAGAAGAAGAAGAAGTAGGATGAAAAGAAGAATAATTCCAAGCCGGCAAAAAGTGTATGTGCAGAGTTCCTCTATTTCTGACAGTTCTCTCACAGCTTCTTCACATGTACAGCGGTTGAAACATCTGTATCCTAAATGGAAACTAATAGATACAGCGCTGCAGATACACTTTTTGCCGGCTTGGAATTATTCTTATTTTCATCCTACTTCTTCTTTTTCTTCTTATGAGGATGAAGAAGAAGAAGTAGGATGAAAATAAGATTAATTCCAAGCCGGCAAAAAGTGTATCTGCAGCGCTCCTCTAAGTGTATCTGCAGAATGTCATTTATGGAAAAAAATAGATACAATGTTTCAACCGCTGTATGGAGTGAATGTCCCAGAACTGTCATAAATAGTCTATTTCTGACAGTTCTGGGACATTCACTCCATACAGCTGTTTCAACCGCTGTATGGAGGGAATGTCATAGAACTGTCAGAAATAGACTATTAATGACAGTTCTGGGACTGTCCTTCCATACAGCGGTTGAAACATTGTATCTATTTGTTTCCATAAATGGATCCATTTATGGAAACAAATACATACAATGTTTCAACCGCTGCATGGAAGGACAGTCCCAGAACTGTCATTAATAGTCTATTTCTGACAGTTCCATGACATTCCCTCCATACAGCGGTTAAACAGCTGTATGGAGTGAATGTCCCAGAACTGTCAGAAATAGACAGAAACTGTCACAGAACTGTCCTTCTTCTCATCCTTCTTCTTCTCATCCTTCTTCTCATCCTTCTTCTCATCCTTCTCCTTCTTCTCATCCTTCTCCTTCTCCTTCTTCTCATCCTTCTTCTCCTTCTTCTCATCCTTCTCCTTCTTCTCATCCTTCTCCTTCTCCTTCTTCTCATCCTTCTCCTTCTCCTTCTTCTCATCCTTCTCCTTCTCCTTCTTCTCATCCTTCTCCTTCTCCTCATCCTTCTCCTTCTCCTTCTCCTCATCCTTCTCCTTCTCCTTCTTCTCATCCTTCTCCTTCTCCTTCTTCTCATCCTTCTCCTTCTCCATCTTCTCATCCTTCTCCTTTTCCTTCTTCTCATCCTTCTCCTTCTCCTTCTCCTTCTCCTTCTTCTCATCCTTCTCCTTCTTCTCATCCTTCTCCTTCTTCTCATCCTTCTCCTTCTCCTTCTTCTCATCCTTCTCCTTCTTCTCATCTTCTCCTTCTTCTCATCCTTCTTCTTCTCATCCTTCTCCTTCTCCTCATCCTTCTCCTTCTCCTCATCCTTCTCCTTCTCCTCATCCTTCTCCTTCTTCTCATCCTTCTCCTTCTCCTTCTTCTCATCCTTCTCCTTCTCCTTCTTCTCATCCTTCTCCTTCTCCATCTTCTCATCCTTCTCCTTCTCCTTCTTCTCATCCTTCTCCTTCTTCTCATCCTTCTCCTTCTCCTTCTTCTCATCCTTCTCCTTCTTCTCATCCTTCTCCTTCTTCTCATCCTTCTCCTTCTCCTTCTTCTCATCCTTCTCCTTCTCCTTCTTCTCATCCTTCTCCTTCTCCTTCTTCTCATCCTTCTCCTTCTTCTCATCCTTCTCCTTCTCCTTCTCTTTCCTCATCTCCAAGGGCATTTAAATTAAAGGTACAGTGTTCTGCACTAATTTAAAGGCTCTCTGAAGCCTAGAAACCCTTTTTATAAGTCATCTTCGTAGCGAAGAAATTCGCATCGAATCGAATTTCACACTGGAATTTCGCCGAATCAGCCGAATCGAATTTTTGAGAAATTCGCTCATCTCTAATTATTATGTTACTTGATGTGGTAATTGTTTTTGCGTAGCATTTTCACAAACGGATTCCATCTTGCAGGTACCCGTGAACATGGAGAAATCACAAATGTCAGCAAGCCTTTTATAGTGCAACTGAACTGGGCAGGATTCGGCAGCAAGTGGGGCAGATGGGGAAGAGACTCATATCCAGGCACTAATCAAAAAACATATTGGGGGGCTATTTTAAGATCAGATGCTCGCATAATGAACACCCTGCGCTTCTATCCCTCATATATTGACCTGTTACGCTATCAAAACTATGTAGAGAAGGGCCTTATATATTATGATGATTATTCAAGAACTGGTCAAGGAAGTGGAATGATTATGTATGATGGCTCCATGTACTATAACTGCTACAATACAAGAGACATCTGCAAGTATAACACAAAAACCTATACTGTGGAAAGCCGTAGTACTCTCAGTGATGCTGCTTTCAATAATCGATTCTCCTATGCAGGGGCGGACTGACAACTCATGGGGCCCCCGGGCAATAGCGGATCATGGGGCCCCTGTGTCCTTGCCCAAACTCAAAAAAGCCTATGAAAAAGGTACCAGGGGCATCTCATGGGGCCCCCTACTGACCCCAGGCCCTCGGGCAGTGCCCGAGTTTCCAAATGGTCAGTCCGCCCCTCCTCCTATACCTCTTCCAGTTGGCAGGACATTGACTTTGCCGGTGATGAAAATGGCCTTTGGGTTATTTATGCAACTGAACATAGTAATGGCAACATGGTCCTCAGTAAGCTTAATGCCACCACTCTTGCAGTACAGCGGACCTGGCACACCAATCAATACAAGCCTGCAGTCACCAATGCCTTCATGGTGGTTGGAATCTTATATGCTACCAGAGCTGTGAACACACAGACTGAAGAGATCTTCTACATGTACAATACCAAAACTGGTGAAGAAGGCAGTTAAGCATCCTGTTTGACAAAATGCAAGAGAACATACACAATCTGTCCTACAATCTCAATGACCACCAGCTCTATGCACTCAATGATGGCTATCAGGTTACCTATGATGTCACTTTTAACTCCCTCCTGGAAAATGTATCCAAAAAGTAACTTTATTTGATCTGTATAATCATTACATGCTATTTAGTGCAGGTTTCCTATTTCAACATATAAACAAATGCAACACTAAACATTACACATAATATGCAAAGAATTGAGAGTGCATTAAAAGATTTTTTTTTTTAATCCCATACCTATTTGTTTCTTTAAAATGGAATCCCAGGCTAGAACTACGTTTAAAACTGCACCAAACCCCTTCTAACTCTTATACTAACTGCCCTGTTAAAGGAAGATGCTTATACTTACCTATTCTCAGGGCAATCCAGTGTGATTGACTGCAGGCTCTGATTCAATGAAAAATTTCTAGCATTCCAAATCAAGAGAAGCCGATTGTTTAGATTGACTTCTCTTTAGGGAGGATGGCCATAGATGGATAAAAATTCAGTCAGTCCCTGTAGAACCGGCTGAATTTCAATCCATTTATGGCCAGCTTAAAGGTCACACACTTGGGTTGTGTCCATTCCAGTCAGCAGGGGATTCGTGAACAGATCCACTGCTGGATCAGAGCTGAATGATATGGCTATCCCTTTTGTGACATCTGTGTTCAGTTAGTTTTTTCTTGCCAGAGCTTAATTGATCCATGGCAGGGCTATAGGCAGGTGGGTGTAAAGGGATTTTACTTCCGATTGACCTTTTGCAATTTTTTTTGTGTCAGAGCTTAACTGACCCATGGTAGTTTTTTTCCTGTCAGAGCTTAACTAACCCATGGTAGGTTTTTTGGGCAGGCATATGTAAAGGGATTTTACGTCTGATCGTTGACCTTTTCCATTTTTTTGGAACTAGATTTATAGGTAATCATATGGTAAATGGCCACACAATCAAATATCACTGCCTGCCCATTGACCAACAAACTGACAGGCTGATCTGATCGAAAGACCCATGTGAGGGGCCCATGAAATTTAAATGCATCTTTTAACATAATCTTCTTTTGTAAAAAGTGTAATACATAAAAATGTGAAATTAGCCTTAATGTGAACCTGACATAAAACATGGGGAATGCTAACATAAGCAGGGATTACAATCAGTGAAAACAGGTCAATATAATGAATAAATTTAAATATGGAAGCAACAAAAGTTATATAAACACAAATTACCTTCTCAACTTATCCTAAAAGTCAAACTTGACCCCACCCCCACCCTGAGCCTCCCTATGATGTGAAAGACATCCTCTTTGACCTAAAAAGAGGCTAGACAGGTGAAGGTTGGTAAGTACCAAACATGAGTATTTCAAGGTCCTGTTCTGCATATATACTTTCAGGTACTTCTATCTCAGGAACAGCTAATGGTTCTTCTATGTGGTTTTCACTGAAGGTAATGTCTATTGCGGTCTTTATCATATGCCTACTTAAATTTGTGTACATTTGTAACAGGTTTATTTTACCCCATGCTATTGCCGTTTGCATATGTCAGATTATGTGATGTTTCCTTTGGTGGTAACAGCTCATGGAGCAGCAAATTGGGATATCCTGTGGCATTGGAATTATTGTAATTGATTAATGGAAATTGGATATAAAAGCATTCCATACAATTTCAAATTCCTCCTCAACACATAAAAGTAGAACCAAAAACTTTTTTTTAATTTTGGATAGAGGATTAAAACCTTAAATCCTGTCAGTGTTTTGCCATTTGTGTCCCATTGGGGAGATTTTCCCTCACTTTCTGTCCCATAGCCAAAACAGGAAGTGAGAGGAAATTCCTCCAAAGTGAGGGAATCCTTGGTTTTCACCAGAACTAGTCTCCCAATTGGAAGATTTTCCCTCTATTCCGGTTATGAGAACAACCCAAAATTTGGAATTTTCTTCTACTTTCAATCTTGATGATAAAGGTAAACAGGCCAAATAGAGAGGGTGAATCTCCTTAATGGGAATACAGACAGCAATAAAAAACCCTGACAGATGCAATATTCCTTCCCCACTATATCCAAAGCTCTCAGTGGGTGGGCTTTAATGCCAAGAGGCCAGGAGTATGAGGCCCTATGTAAACACTTGTCTGTGCTGAAAGCGCGCGCCAGTCAAATGACCTGCCTCCCTGCATTTAGAAGCTCTTATAGGGCTGGGAGACAGCAGTGCAAATGGGTAGACTGAATAGTATTGAAGATCTCAGATCAAACAAATTTTGGTTGCAGTTTCTTACAACCCAATTAAGTATCTGTGTTTGTACTGGCTCTAACTAAGTTGGTTGAATTTGGTACTATACCTGTACTCAGGGGCGGACTGACAACTCATGGGGCCCCCGGGCAATAGGGGATCATGGGGCCCCTGTGTCCTTGCCCAAACTCAAAAAAGCCTATGAAAAATGTAGCAGGGGCATCTCATGGGGCTCCCTACTGACCCCGGGCCCTCGGGCAGTGCCCGAGTTTCCAAATGGTCAGTCCGCCCTGCCTGTACTAGAATGTTTCATCAATCACCATAGCCTGATTATTTGTTAGCACAGGACTAATGCAGGGATAGAGGTCTATGCAGCTCACAATTGTAGGTGCATTACTTTGCTTTACTGTACTCAGCTGGCTTAGTATAAGTTTATAAATATGTTGTTAATAAATTCAGTTCCTCTTTAAAACCTCTTTACAATACTCAATAGTTTTCTCTCAAATATTGATCAAAATACATTCATCATAATGGTTCTTTTAATAATTGATTGTAAATCAAAAGCTAACTACAATAAATTCATAAGCATGGCAAAGCTGAGTCATGGACCTTTCTTTTTACTTGTTTTATAAATGCACATCATGAAGAACAGCTCCACACATTTTATTTCTTTTTTTTTGGACAGGAGGTGGGAGGGAATCTCCCCACATGGGCAACAATAAAAACTTGACTTGTTATAACCCTTCCCCCACTGTAACCAAAAGAATGCACTTTGGCTGGAGTTTAGCTTGACATTTATTAAAACTACGGTGGTATGAAATCATGACAAGGAAATTGATTTGCCTGAATTGGGAAGTAAAAATCTGAAAAGTTTGGGCAGTCCACTCCCAAAAGTTTGTGTCATTTTGACTCCTTCCATGCATGTTTTTTGGGGTTGGTGGGCCTTTCACCCATTACTACTCAGCAACTGCTGTCAGGTTGTTACTGTATATGGAGAGTTCAGTACTTGTTCTAGTTTAGATCCATGAAGTCACTGTTTTTTTCTGAGTTTACCCAAATTTTATCCTGTGTTGAACCCTGATGAAGGGGGAGTGCTGTTGCCCCCAAAACACGTTGGCTGTTTTTATATGAATTTTTAACCAACAATTAAAATTTTCTTGGACTCTTTTATCCAATTTTGTTCTGGTAATCCTTTCTGTAAGGAAATTGATTTGTATGAATCTGGAAGTACAATATGAAAAGTTTGGATCATCCATTCCTAAACAGTTTGTACCATTTTGATTCCTTGCATGCATGTTTTTGGGGTTGGTGGGCATTCAAACCTCTATTATATACTCCTGTACTTTACAGCATCTAATGATAGTGACAGTGACTATTTTCAATGTGTTGCAGGGATCACAAAGTTACAGTGCTGTGAAAAAGTATTTGCACCCTTCCTGATTTTTTTTGTTTTTTTCATATTTGTCACACTTAAATGATTCAGATCATCAAACAAATTTTAATAGTACACAAAGATAACCCACGTAAATACAACATGCAGTTTGTAAATGATGATTTCATTTATAAAGGGAAAAAAGCTGTCCAAACCTGCCTGGCCCTATGTGAAAAAGTAATTGCCCCCTAAACCTAATAGCCGGTTGTGCCACCCTTGGCGTCAACGACTGCAATCAAGCATTTGCGATAACTGGCAATGAGTCTTTCACATCACTGTGGAGAAATTTTGGCCCACTCTTCTTTGCAGAATTGTTTTAATTCAGCTTCACTGGAGGGTTGTCGAGCATTATTGGCCTGTTTAAGGTCATGCCACAGCATATCAATCAGATCAAACCTTAATTTTGTTTTTTGACCCATTCAGAGGTGGACTTGATGGTGTGTTTCGATTCATTGTCCTGCTGCATAAACCAAGTGCGCTTGAGCTTGAGGTCATGAACTGATGGCCGGACATCAGGATTTTCTGGTAGAGTGCAGATGTCATGGTTTCATTAATTATGGCAAGTCGTCCAGATCCTTAGGCTGCAAAGCAGCCCCAGACCATCACACTACTACCTTCATGTTTGAATGTTGGTATGATGTTTTATGAAATGCTGTGTTAGTTTTACGCCAGATGTAATGGGACGTTCACCTTTCAAAAAGTTCATCTTGAGAACTCTCTCAGTGCACAAAATATTTGCACAAAGGTCTTGGGGATAATCAAGATTTTTTTTGGCAAATATGACACGAGCCTTTGTGTTCCTTTTGGTCAACAGTGACTTTTGCCTTGGAACTCTCTCATGGATGCCATTTTTGCCCAGTCTCTTTTTTATTGTTGAATCGTGAACACTGACCTTAATTGAGGCAAGTGAGGGCTGCAGTTATTTAGATGTTGTTCTAGGTTCTTTTATGACCTCCTGGATGATGTCAAGGTCCTACCTTTTCCCAGAGGGTATGCTGCTCCAGGTGCTGGCATCCATCTTGGGTTTCTGCAGAGCATGGTGGGAGTCTTTTATGCCTTCAGGCCCCTTGCGGTCCATCCCCCAGAGGGGTGTGGTTGATCACATATAAGCCTGTTGTCCGCACGTGCTCTTTGCATTCGTGTCTTGTATGTTCGTGTTGCAACAAGCTCTGTTTCTACTCTCGTGGCTCTCCTGGAAACTGACTCGGCTTTTGACTAGACTATTCTCTGCGTTATCCATTTAGCTGACCTCCCGTTGCTGAACCCGGCTTGTGACCTGTTATTCTTGTCTACCGTTCTGTACTGTCTGTCCCGCTGTCATTGACC